CATGTTACACGAGTCATTCCGGACCAGGATTACAAACAGTCGAAAGCTTTACGTCGGCGCGTGAACTTCCTTCAGTGTTATACTAACAGGGCATAACATTGAAGTTCCGTGTATAGCACCAGCTTGGGGTTTTGCACGTAGTACATGCAGTCGCCGACGTGCGTCATTAACCTGGTGAAAGCCCAGAGATTTCGAGCTCAGCTGCAAGTATGAAGGCAAGCGGCACTGTGATTGAAATTACACAAGGATCATGACAATTTTTTTTAACACTTAGCAATAATATCAATACCTGTAGGTACTACAAGTTTCTTAAACTCAACCACGAATTTCGATCACTCGTTCCTGCACTTTAACTTCTCACAATGACGACACGCTCCTAGACCGTCCTGAGATCATTTCTCTCGCGTTGCTGCTGTCGTTTCAGCACCTCCACGCAGCGTTGATGGAGCAACACGTGCACCTCCCCATCCTGTTTCTGAAGCTGCACTTCTTCAGGACCTCGGACTTCCACTTCAACCTTTTCATGATCCTGCGTCGTCTCCGCAACGTGAGTGCTTACGACTCGATGGAGGCGTCGCAGGTCCTGTCTGCAGAGCTGTTGACCCATCTGGAGCTCATGGAGAGCTTGGTCGACCTGCATCCTGCTCCTTTTAAGTCTGCAGTCCTGATCCTCCATCTTTGTCGTGAGAATCTCTAGCTGAAACTCCGCTGCTGCCCAATTGGCCTGAATACTGTCGGTTATCACGGTCTGTTGAGCCTGCGCGTCGGCAGCTGCTTTGGCTGTAGCAGCCACCTCACCCCACAGACTCGAGAGCTTCTTCTTCGTTCTAAGGTTGTTGGTCTCGGCTTGCGCCTGCTGGTCCTGCAGTTGCGCCTTCAACTTCGACAATTGAGTCTGCATCTCTTCGATCCTAGGATCTTTCTGACATAGTGACGTTGGATCCTGCTGACCTGCAAGTAGCAGGCTATGCAGTCGGCGCAGCTCCTGTGCCATCAACAGGAACGAGCTACGTACTACTTCAGGTACGCCGCGCCACTCGGCCTGGCCATCCAGCACGAACTCCAGTTGCAGGTCCATATTTCGCTAATGGGGCAGGATTCTATAAACCTCTCTAAACCAATCCAAAAGCGATACATTTTTGTTGAAAACACAAAATATGTGTGTTGCACGTAGCTTATGTGGATGTGTGTTCCACCATCATTCTGAGTGTATACGCCTGTTAGCATGGCCGACACGGAGAGCACTGGGACTAAGCGCAAGCTCAAGGAGAACGCCTTCACAGCCAAGGCCGAGAGCGGGACCCTCAAGGTGAAGATACTACGACGCGACCAGCGGGGCAATCTTTCCTCCTCTGCATCCCCCACTGCGTCCACCAAGACAAGAAATCGTCGCACCGCAAAAGCTCAACCACCGCCTGACTCACCTCCAAAGCCTCGTCCTAACCGGAAGCATGTGCCCATCTTCTACGAGCCGCAGTTCCGTCAACCCATCAAGAGAGGAGGTAGCCATCATAGTAGCTCCACGGACGAGCACTCGACATCGTCCACCAATGTCCCTGGAATCCACTCAGCGTCCACCGAGACGTCTGGAGTAGCGTCCACATCGTCCACAAGCTCAAGTTTTGTGTCTCATCTGTCAGATGTGAAGCTTGAGGACCCACCTAGAGCAAACCCGCTGTTTGCTCGCAATGATAGCGATGGACTGGGCACATTGGGGGAGCTACTACGACCTTATATGCCTTCAGGCATGCAATCGAGCTTCCCCCAGTCATCATCGGCGGGACTTCTGATGGACAGGAACGCAGGGCTCTCGTCAGCGTTGCACCAACTTGCATCGTCTTCTGCTTCATACCGCTCAGCATTGGAAGATCTCTCGGCTGCAAATGGGAAAGCTACTGATACAACATCTTCGGCTCCTGCGTCTGCAGTCTCGGATTCGACAAGTAATGCAGGGTTGGAGAGCTACAGATTCGATCCATTGGCTGCACTACAAACTGCTATTGATCATGCGCAGCGTAGGGAAAGTAAAAGTGACACACCGCGTGAAGTCGGCAGTCCTACTAGCAACGCTCGATTCTATCGACTGGAGCCGTCGGGATCATCACAGAGCAACGAAAGCACGTCGACAAGTCTGGGGCCTCCACCAGAACTCCCTCCATCGTTTGCTCTGCAGAATTCACTAGTAGGAGGCGGAATCCATCGCTTCTCTCTTTCAAAATCAATGGATGGCGCCAAGGACGCCACAAGTTCTTCTCCAAACAATGACAGTGGTGCCAAGGATGCCATTGCTGCTCTTGGACCCCCACCAGACGCTCCACCGTCATTCCTACTCTCCAATTCACTGACAGGAGGGAGTATTTCGATTTTGAATCTACCCAGGACGAATCCCAGTCTGGATAGACTGGGGTCATTGACGAGGTTGATCAGCCAAGCAAATGAGACCGCCAAGGACCTGAACACGACGTTGTCGTCTCCACCAAAGGCAAATCCTGGTCTGGATAGACTAATGTCGTTGTCGAGTGTTGTGAGTGAGGACGGTGAGACTGCCACGAAGATGAAGCTGACGTCGACTCCAGACACTAGTTCAGCCTCTTCGAGCACCACTCACGAGACTGAGGATAGCAACAGTGAAGTCATTGACTTGGGGCCACCACCTACCGGTCCACCTGCGTTTACAATCGGAAACTCACTAATGGGAGGAGGAATCGAGCTACAACCCGCGGCTACGAATGTGAATACTCACAATTTTGACTGGAAGTTGCACAGAAGTGCGTCAAATAGCGGCGGAGATGCGACATCGGCTACTAGGGACATTAGTCACGGATTGCGAGCTCAGCTCGAGCGAACTTTGGCAGCGTCGCAGAATGGAAAGGACAAGTCATAAGGTTGTGAAAAGTCTTGGGTATCGTACAAATACATGAAGTACAATTGAAGTAAATTATTTCCAAAGTACAACGCCAAATACACAGCCGAAGGTGCAACTGGAGAAGCAGCATTCGTTGAAATCCGTTGCCTGGTGACGGCAACACGCGCTAATCTCTTGGATTCATCCAAATACATGCCATCACTCTCTCAAGCCCTGAAATTCTTCTCCGTGCAAATTGGGTTTGAGCTGGCAAATCGCGGAGCGGTCGCAGTGTACCTCCATCGTTAATTTCATGTGTGCAGCTGAAGTTGTTTGTCGTGACTTGCGGTACTAGGACTGAACCAAAATTGTACATATATGTGGATATCACACGATTTTTTGATCCCAACTTGGGATCAAAAAATCGTGTGATATCCACACAGAATGACATTTCAGTGGTAAACCAAGTGTAGAGACGAGGTCTAATGATACGACTTGGGTGCTTATTCATCGGTGTGAGAACAATCAGCGTTAGGATTTCCCGAGCTAGGCTGCCGGGAGGTATCCGTAAATAAAATAATTTTGTGTTGAAGAACCTATCGCAAAATACATAATCGACTGAAGACGCCTTGATGGCATTATAAACAACTGAAAATGAGCGCAAAGACAAATAAAACTCAGTCATCGTGTTCAAAAACGAAAGTTCATCAAGCACTTCGTAGAGATTACCTCAACCGTTGACGCATCTCAGTAGGTTTCGTTTACTGTATCATCTCAAGTGTCATTGGAGATTCGTGACGTCATTCGCGGCGTACAACATCACGGGCGATACTAAAAGGTTGCTGCACTACACTGTAAGCCGGAGGAATTGCCGATAGCAGCTTGTACACGGACGGCTCTGCGGAAACCTTGCGCCTCTTGAGAATGTGGTCCTCAAATACCTCCATTATTGTGGTGATCACCACATCAAAGCTGGAAGATACTCCACCTCCACTTGAAAGGGCTCCATTTCCGTTGCCTTAGCAGACATCAAACTGATCACCAGCGACCAGAAGAGTAAGACCGACGGATTGATACTCTTAGAAATCGATTCAACGCGGCACAGCTTTAACAGGAGATCCTCCAGCGCAGCGCTGGACGGACCTTGATGGTAGAAGATCCTTGATGTCGTCGTCGTCGTCTACATATAGAATCTTTCGGAGGGGAAACTGACGTCAAGCATAGAAAATGTTGATGACCTGCGAGTATCCTGGCGGAGGACTGGAATCAATTTGGTCTTTGCTCTATTCTAGAAAAAGGTCACACACAATTAGAGTCTTTAACAAAAGTCAACATTGGTTTCCCGTATCAAAACACAAACGACCAACTTGGCATACCTCAGTTTCGCCGCTTGATTCAGAGTGCGCACTTTGCGCATCAGCTGACGAACTTCGCTGAGCGCAGCCTCGTGAGGACGGAGGAAGTCGCGCACAGCAAGGTTGAGTCTATGACTCGCACAACCAATAAGCAGCACCTTTAAAGGTAAAAAGGTTAGCTAGCTTCTTGTTGACTGTACTGCTGGCGCCCACTAGGAACTTGGCTTTTTCAATAGATCTGCCAAGAGATGGTAGGAAGCGCTCAATTACCGTCAGATGAATCTTTGCAGTTAGGTGGTCGCCAGGTTCATCCATTATAGGAGCCATGAAAATAAGGTGGTACCGTGGACCACTAGGATTATCATAGCATCCAAAGGCGCTCTGGTATTGCTCTGTACCAAATCTACGGTCGTCGAGGATCAGGCCAAAATCGACCGGTATCTTCTCGCCCATGCCGGCTTCCACAATCTTTGTCACACCCTTAGAGAGCAGTGCCTCCACCGATACAAAACAGAAATTTCTGTATCTGCATAACAATAATATTCCATATTCATTTAGTGTAAATTTGTGCCACCAATATTAGTCCTCAAAATTATAAGTTATCACAGATCCAAAAAAATTGAAATGCATTATGGATGCAGGACCAGATTGGTAGCAAAATATATTATTTTATTGGCCGACAAATAATTTTCCAGTATATTTTTTTCCGGAGATTTTTGTTTTGAGTACTTCGTTCCGTTTTTAGGGGGTGTGGACAATATAGGATTTGCAAAAACATTAGATTTCAGCAAACAAACATGAGAATACTTGGCAAAAGTGAATTGGTGTAAACTATCACGGAAAGGATACAGTGAAACAGTATTAAGAATATGCTTGGCAACCCGTCGTGAGGAAGCATCTGCCTCAATATTAACAAGTTGTAGGTTCTCTTCCGACAAGACTTACCCTACTCGAACCAAAGCATGACCTCATGGGTAGTTAATATTTTGCATAGGTCATGCCCAGTTCTGTACCTCTCACTTCACCGCCACCTGGCATTTTTCGCGAAGACTAGAAGCTAGACCCGTTGCTTGACCCTTAGCTTCGTGAAGTACAGCGTTGACATCTTCAGGAGATTCTGAGTTGATATCAAGTGCAAATCTTGCAATCGGGGGAGCATCTCCAGGTCCGTGCAGAGCTGCCAGTAAACTCCAGACCATTGGCGTCACAAATCGAAAGTCCTTCGTGATCTCTAGACCTGGACGCATAAGCACGACCTGATTCGGATCTTCGCCAGTGTCAAAACCAGGTTCCAGTAACTCGTGATTCGAGATCGGACCTGGTTCAGGTCCTTCCTTGCCTACAAAGAGCGCCCAACGATTCATCCACTCTGAATGAATCGCAAACCAGAACTCTTTGGACTTGAGTTCCTTGCGATCATAACTCATGACCAGCTGAAGTTCAAGACGTCGGCGGAGCTTTAAATCTTCCGTGTAAGTCGGTAAAGACGCCTGGATCAGACTCATCCGCTGCATCGAAGTGGCTGACATTCTCCGGGCTTTCGGAGCCGACGACGGTGACACTACTGGCGATGTAGCACTCGTTGGAACTGGCTGGACAGTCAGTTTGATAGGAGCAGGAAGACGGAAGCTTAGACGTCGAGGTTCGCCACTCAGACATCCAAGGCGTTCTCGAATACCAGCCAAGGATTCTTTCGATACATCTTCGCCATTAATCTCCACGATTTCAGCACCAGAAGATACACTACCGCTGCGTTCTAGTGCACCACGAGATCCATCGGATAGTGGCACGAACCCCAAAACTACAGCGCGATTGGCAACGGTACCATCGAGATTGAGACCAAGAGATCCTGGAGGAACCTCCACACTCACGACTTTGTCAGTTGAGCTGGCCACATACGGACGTTTGTCGGAGTCCAGAGGACTGTCTTCCATCCCCGTGACTTGCACAAACGAAGCAGGTCCACCTGTTTTCAGCGCTGGAGAAACTAGTGGATCATTCGTTGGCTGTACAGGAGGAGACACTGCTTCCGCTGAGAACATGTTGGACGATTCACCTATAGGCTCACTGAGGTCCGTTGAGCTACTTGTTGGGCCGATGATAAGCTTTGACTTGTCATCATCTTGAGGGTTCTTGTGGTTGTTCTGAGGTGGCACTTTAAAGCGTAATTGACGTTTCAAGTGAGCAGCTTCTCGTAAGACTGTACCGATCTCCTCAAGTGTTTGTCTTGGTTGCATGAAGTCGAACTTATCCATTCCGATCAACACACTGCCCTGAGGAACGCTTCCACTCGCTTCAATAGCCCCAGGTGATCCTTCACGGGTCACTGGGGCGAAATCGTCGAGTAAAGCTGCGTCGGTGCAGCTTCCGTCAAGTAGGATGCCCAAAGGTCCAGCAGGGACGGAGATCTCGACAATCGGCCACGTCGTGATGTCCATCCCTGCAACAATCAGACTCGAAGGCTTGACTACTCCACCAGAGATCGGGGAATAATCTCCCGTCGGAGATCCTGGTGACTCGTACAGAGGATCACGCTTCTTTACCTTCGGCTTCATCGCTGACAACATCGCCCGCATGTGGCTAAACTTGGGTGATGCTGAGCTTTCTGGAAAGCTGGAAAATCGCAGAGTGATAAATGGCGTAAAATGGAGCGCAGAGTGAAATGTCAGTTCTAAATCTTCACTTCATTGTCCTCAATCTATTTCCAGAACTGCAAATTGCCTCACGACCTCATCCTTCGACACAACGTTATTTTCATTTTGACCATCACTCTTTGTTTTTCTTACCGCACACACATGAAGCGGTACTGTGTCTTCAAGTGTTGAAGTAGTATGTATTCGACCTGCCCCACAAGCATGCAAAGCGACCGCTTGATCCTATCTACTGAGAAGCTGTATCCATAGGCGCCGGGGGCGGCACAGCCGAGCCGTTCACGACAGCAGGAGCACTCTGCGTCCGCTGTTCCCCTTCATCCTCGCTGTCCTTGCTGCTACGCGGACTGCCGCCAAGCGTCAGCGCCTTGGTGAGCGAAATCGTGGCCTTGACTGTGCTAACTGCAGCGCGGAACTTCCGACGCGCGTTGAACTTGCGCAGTTCCTCGAGCGCCGTGGTGAGCTGCACGTCCTTGACCGCGTCTCCAGCGATCCACGGGTGTTCCAGCAGCTGACGCGCCGTCCAGCGCTCGCTAGGCTTCAAGATGAGCATCTTACTGATGAGATCTTTGGCCTCGGCCGACACGTCGTCCCAATAGGGCGAGTCGAACTCGTAGCGTCCAGCCTTAATGAGTCGGAACAACACTCCCTGGTTGTCATGGTGGAACGGAGGATATCCACACAGCAGAATGTATGTAATGACACCGATACTCCAGATGTCCACTTCCTTGCCGTATGGCTTGGACATCAAGATCTCGGGCGCCACATATCCAGGCGTGCCACACGCGGTCGACAGCCCTGCGTCACCGTTCTGAATCGCCTTCTTAGCGAACCCAAAGTCCGCGAGTTTGATGTCTGCGTCGTCCTCGGCGCTGCTAAGCAGCAGGTTTTCAGGTTTCAAGTCTCGGTGGACAACGTCGGCGTCGTGACAGAAGGCGATGGTTTCCAGCAGAACTTTGACGAGGTCTCGGGCTTCTCTTTCCGAGTAAAAGTTCTTCTTGACGATCCGCTCGAATAGTTCACCTCCTGGCATGTATTCGGTGACTAGGAAAAAGTATTTTTCCTCTTGGTAAACGTCGTACAGCTTGACAATATGCGGGTGTTGCATCTCCCGCAAGATTTTCACTTCGGCTACCAGAGCTTGGAGATCGTCCGCTGACAATTGCGACCGCTTAATGCACTTGATAGCGAAGCGCTCACCCGTCGTCTTGTGCGTAGCCTCCCTCACTACTGAGAACGTACCCGCTCCGAGCTCCTTGCCCAGTGTGTACACGTCAGCAAAGCGTTTGCCGCCTTCATGCGCCGCGATCTCCTCGAACTGCACGGCAGGAGGCGGAGGAGGCACGAGGAAGCGTACGACGCGCTCGGCGCCGCTGGTGCTGACGAGGATCTCGCGGATCTTCTCGAAGCTCCAACAGGCTGCGGCGTCCGTGAAGTCGTGCGCATTTACGCCCAACAAGAGCGAGTTGGGGCCGATCTCGCCGTGTTTCTCAAGAGCTCCAGGCTCGCCCGCGCCCACAGGACGGAAGCCGTCCACGATGACGTGGCCCTCACCTATCGGACTCTTACTCACGATGAGACCCAAGGGACCTGCAGGCACGACGACGTCCACGCGCTTCCATTGGGACCGATCGGGAGGCGTCATAGCGAGTGGAGTGTAACTTTAGGACTGAGCTCTAGGATGAAGAGCTAAAAATGGCAACGTTTGTGGAGCGCCACATGTCGCACTTAACGCAGAGTATAGTGAGATCAAGTGAGTTGACTGGGGGTGGACTAATTTTTACTTGGTGTCGGAATATCCTGCAGACAATTCAGTGCCTAGGGCGTTGAGGACTTGTAGCGTTTAGTGTGTGTCGATGGCGAGAGCGCACGAGGGGGAGAAGACGGGCCACGGCGGAAGAAATATCCATCGCTCGAAGCGCCCGAGAGAGGAGACGAGCTGGAGCTCACAGGCGAGTCAGGAGCTGCTGCGGCTGCGCTTCCAGACGCTGCGGACGCTGTTCGATGACGCCGAGACGGTGGCGGACGTGCATGAGGCGTGGGGAGTCGTAGCTGCTAGATTGAATGACATGGAGGAGGTAGAGATGGAACTGGACGCAGTCAAGTGCAGTAATCAGCTCACGAGGCTGCGTCAGCAGTGGCAAGAGAGCAGCACAGCGCCGCTCCACGTTCTGATGACCGAGTGCTTCAGCAAGACGCCGATACAGTCCGATAGGAGGATTAACAGAGAAATCGAGGAGACAATAGTGCAGGACGAAGGTCCCCCAATGAGGAAGAAGATGGCGAAACAACAGACTGAGGTGGCGTCGCCTTCTACCCCGGCGACGGAGCTGGAGAGTCAAGCTGAGACTCCGTTGACCACTGAACCTACGCCGATACCCAGCGAGGCTGTATCTCCAGCGTCTTCGACTGGTTGTCAACACGAAGTCTCATCCGAGCAGCCAGTTCCGCCCTCTCCCCAGCCTGTTGAGCAGGAATTACCGTCGACTCGTCAAGTTGAAGTCCAAGATGTTGATGTGGAAGAATTCCCCCGACAGGACGAGATCATGCGCGCTCTGGGGAAGCGATCGGAGCAGCTCGAACGACTGGCTCAATCTCATCAACATCTTGCTGACGCGACGCAGAAATTATTGGAGGCTCTACTCAATCGATAGGGCAGGACGTAAGCTTACATGATTGTACGAGTTGTACCATAGATAAGGCCAATTCCAATTGCAGGCTAAACTGGTGCCAAATAGGACCTACATAGCTGCATCAAGTGAGGTTTATCCGTAGTCAATGCTATTTTCACTTGAACGACTATCACTCCGTGCGTTGCTGTCTAATCAATGTGCGAGCACGTCCAGAGATCGTCGCCGAGGAAGTGCACCATCTCGATAGCCACACCCTTGTTCTTGTTCCGACTACATACAAATCCACAACCACCAAATTGTTAAATAACTTTCCAACATCATTAACTAACTGCGTCACGTACATGTCGTCGGTGGACATGGTGAGGATACCAATAGCCATGGCGTGTTCCTTGCCTTCGGCCATAATAGCCTGTAAAAAAATAAAAATAATAAAAACCTAAGTATCACCCCAAACCAACGAAACATACTGTACATACCACGGGGGTACCAGCCTCCAGTGGCTCGGGCATATCACCGCCAGCCGAGGTGAGACCGGGACACATGACATTGGCACCCGACAGCACGAACGGGATCGCGCCCTTGTCGGCGCGCACCTGCTTCATAACGTGCGGCACCTTGTGCAGCAGCTTAAGCGTGGGCATGAAGGGGCCGTCACGCTGGTTGAAGAAGAGGGGCTCACCCTCGTGAAGCACGATCTGAATGTGGTTGTGGCTGGTGTCGGATATAACATTTACAGTTAGATTGACAAAGTATATCATGGTGATTAAACGTCATATATCAGACACAAAATGACGGACCATTTCGCAACGACCATAGGAGCCTTCTTGGGCATGAACATCTCAGCATAAGGCTCCAGGTCCGGATACTGCTCCAGCACCTTGGCGCGGATGCTGCGCTGCTGCGAGGACTTCACCTTGCTGCTGGTACTCATGTGCTCATCGACACTGAATCGCTTGAACATGGTGGCGAGAACTGCCTTGGTTGGTTCAGTTTTGCTTTACAGTTAATTTAAAAAAAAGCAGTTAGAAAAAAGTGTTAGTCCGCCCTAAAAAGTACTTTTCCTTGCACTGATTTTATTTAGCTTTTTGAAGTACGCATCAATTTTTTATGCCAAATGATGAGAACTTGTTATGTGGCATATTGCTTCTCTTTAAGAACTCAAATCTTACGCTCATGGCTACATCTTCTTCATGGTTCTCTTCCGACGCTCTACGTCTTCTGGAGGCCCGCAACAGGCGTGAAGTGACTGCCTTCAGCGACCTGATCGCATCTCACCAGCAGCTTCTGTTCCGCTCTGCGTTAGGTGCGAGCTCTTCGTCTCTAAGTGCGTCTCAGCGTCTTACAACCCCTCAGGAACAGGACGATGCAACTGCGCAGCGATACTTGGCAGCTATTCAGAAACTTGAGCACGAACTGGCGGACAGAAACGCACAGCTAGCAAAGTATGCAGGTCAGCAACTAGCGCTAGTGAGCGAGAGCAAGACGCTGCTGCAGGAGCGCGAGCAGTGGGAGCAGCAGTTGCTACTAGTGACGAAGCGTCTGGACGAGGAGATGGTGCTAAGTCACGAGAAAGATAAGGCGCTCAAGGAACTGGATGACGCGCTGCTATTGGCCAGAGAGGAGCTGGCCAGACAGAGACGGCTATTGGAGAACAGTGAAGCGGAGGGGAACAAACTCAGGAAGAGGAACGCCGAACTAGAGACGCAGGTGCAGGAGAAGAATGCACTGCTACATGAATGGATACAATCCAATAGTGGGGAGAAGGACGGGGAGCCGTCTCCTGCACTTGTGGCAATGTCTACACAGGAGGCAGCTGAGAGTATGAGTCATTTATTATTAAATGACGAGGAAGGACTGGGCGGAGATGGCGAAGCGAAACTGGTGACTCATGTGACTCACTCGATACGAGCTCATGCTACTGAGGTGAACTCGGTGTGCTTTAACACGTCGGGCAAGATTTTGTTTAGTGGCAGTAGTGATGGAACGGTGAGAGCGTGGGAAGCAGAGGCAGAGTCCTTGTCACCCCCGAGAGCTCTTGGAGAGTATAGAGGAGTGGGTACAGCTCATCCATTGCTGTGTGTGCGAGCGTCGGAGGATGGATCGCTGGTCTTGGGCACTGGGTGTGATCGCAAGTGCTTCGTATGGAGAGTAGGCACTGGACGAGTGATGCAGACGCTCACAGGACACAAAGGCAAAGTGTTGGCGGCCGAATTCTCCCCTGTCATGCCGCATGAAGTGATCACAGGCTCGTCAGATCGCAGTCTGCGTGTTTGGGACGTCATGCGTGGTGTTCGTCTTCAAACTGTGAGCTGCGTATCAAGCTGCAATGACATTGCAGCGCCTTCTGGAACAGATTCGGGCTTCGTACAGTTCGCGAGCGCACATCAGGACGGCGCTGTTCGTTTCTGGGACACCAGAACTAGACGTTGTGTACAGGAACTACGCGGTCTACATACAGAGCAGACGACTTCTGTGAGTTTCGGAGGCAACGAGTTACTCACCAACTCACGTGACCATACTCTTAAAGTCATTGATCCTCGGACGTACGGGACTCTCCGAGAGCTGCACCATAAAGATTATCAATGTGGCTTTGACTGGGGTCAGGCTTCTCTCAGTCCGGACGGTAGATACGCACTTGCAGGCGGGGCGTCCGGTGTTCTCTTCATCTGGAATGCACGAACTGGGAAGCTCGAGAAGCAGCTGAAGCCTGGTCCTACAGGTCATCACGGCGCTGTCGCTTGCTGTGTGTGGCGTCCTGATGGTCAGGGCGTCGCCTCCTGCGACAAGAACGGCGTGGTGGTGCTCTGGGAATAAAAAACAACAAGACTCCCGCTGTGTATTGTGCAATTATTGGCGGTCTCTAGTCCTTGAGGTCGAAGGATGTGCCGCAGCCGCAGCCACTGACTGCGTTGGGGTTGTTAACAACAGCAAAGGCGCTGCGGATCAACTCCTGCTCGTAATCCAAGGTGCTGCCTCGGATAAGCTCGAGAGATTCTTTGTCCACGACCACTTTACCTCCGTGCTGCTCGAAGACCACGTCCTCCTCTGCGTCGGGCGTCGCGTCCTTCTCGAACTCGATCACGTACTGGAAACCAGAGCAGCCGCCGCCTTCCACAGCCACGCGGAGCATCAAATTCTCCGTCTTCTGTCGCTCAGCCGCTTCGATTAGTTTCTAATAAAAAAATAAATATTCGTAATCAAATAAGAAAAATGTTAGTGAAAAATGGGTATTGATATGTTGTGGTAGTTTGTGCGTGCCTGAGCCGCGACCGGAGTGATGATTAGGTCTGGGAGACCTGTGTCACGCGTTACTTGGACGTTAGAGATCCATCGCGGCTGCTGAGTCCGCAGCACGCGCTGCAGAGGTCGCGAAAGCATTGACCGCATGTTCATCATCATTGTCGGCTTCGAGAATGAATGTTAGTGTAAGTTATCTATCAATTGCTTCTTTTTACATTTTAGTTAGTACAAAATACATAAAGATTCGTTTATATTATTAGGTTTAAGTTGTACTTGTACAGAATGTCAAAACGGCTGTACAGGTTGTACTGTGTAACTAAAGATAGCTTTAACGTGAGGTTGGTTCAGTGAACTTGTCCACTTCTTGACCATCGTGATGCTTGTGGTGCCTTTACAAGTGACGCAGCAACATGAAAATGAAGAGAATAGTGCCGTTACTGTGCAGTCAAAGGCTGATGGCAAGCGCATCCAAAGTCGAGACGATGCGGAACATTTCTACGAGTTGCAATTGGCTCAACCTCTTCCAACGTTCGAGTTGAACAAGACGTTAGTGTCCAAGCTTTTACCGTCTACACAGCACGATCGACTATGCGACATCATGCACAGATTCTTAAACTCGTTTTTGGTGCGGCTCTTTCGGGTGAGTTTGCTATGCTTCGGCTGTCTCCTTTTCGTGCCAACCAAGTACATCACACCCGGTATACCGTTCATGGTTACTGCCATTGTGTTGCCTCCAGTCGTCTTTGTCACCTTCTTCTCGCTCGATGTATTGGTGCTGCTGGCCTGCCAATACGAATTTTGGTTTATTACGGCGCTAAACACTCTCAACTGGGTGGGACTGGGCATGATCTTTGGAGACATCCGAGCGATCTCGTGCTTCGGACTTTGGCTCAGTTCACAGAGTGTTGTGCTTATTGACGCCAACTACCGCACATTCCAGACCGCAGTCAAATCCATTGTCATTAGTGGACCATTCTTGATATTATTGGTTGTGTGCTGCTCGTACAACCTCATAGCTGACGCGAGCTATCCCGCTATCGAGATGGGTATACTGACGCTTCAATCGCGCCAAATTGTCGTGTTCACAGCGTCAACTCTATCAGTATTCGTTGTGAAGAAAGCTTACACTAAAAATTATCGCATGCGTATCCGTCTTCACGATCGAGAACGCGACCCGACACTGCTCAAGGTTTACACACCATCCCGTGCGTTGGCCTACACGCTCAATTGAAACTAAGTCATTGCGGCTCGAAGAGAAACTTTGGACAAATACAATTTGGAGCTTCGACGATGAGAAATCTCCTAGTCTTGGCTCCAAGATCCAGACCAGTCGATATCGTGTCGAACCTTCAGAAATTAAGACTTTCTCCTCACGACCCACTTACTGTTGACGCAAGGAACGTGGTGTTACGTGGTACCCTCTTGAAGTGGATGGCTACTCCATATGCACAATCGGTAGTCTACATTACCGGCATTGTGGGTCTCAGTGCAACAGCGATCGTTTGGATAATGATCCTGTGTCATCAGCACAAAAGCTCACCAGATCAACTCAAATTGGGTATTTCTATCGTAGCCGGTGTATGTTCACTGGCGTTCACGTTCGTAGCTTTCGCGCTCACTCAAAGGGATTTACTACGCTTAGTGGCCTGAAATTTCGATGTATTGTTCTCTACCTTCCAAGGAACTGGATTAGCATTATGTCTTCTGGACTTATTGAGCTGGAGTGTATCATCGAGTCTCGCCGTTATCTCGTGGTGGCTCTGGTTTCACTGTCTACTAGTCTTCGACGCTTTAACGCCAAGTCTTGCGCGTCAGCTGAATATTCGCAAACATTTCGGTCTACCAGCGATTATTGTCATGCTGTTTGTAGCAGCGGGCTGTGCGCTCGAGTTGATTATTGGAGATGATAGCGAGGTCTTTTCATCTCGTTTGCTATGGAGCGTCAGGTTGAGTGATGCTACCTTTGATATACACACTTCTAGTCTGGCAATACAACGCACTATCACGATTGTGGGCTGGTTTCCTCGCTTGTTAATGGAACTTGCGACTGGAAGCCCCGACCAATTGTTGTTCATACATCGACAGGTCGAGTTTTTTAGTCCACACCCGACGTTTTCGGATCCAGCGCCTTCAGACATAATTGCTATGGCACCGACAGGAAAAACACAGAGAAAATGCTGGCGTCGACACGTAAATGGCGATGCCCACACGCCGAATACACAACGTGGTCCCGATGATGCTATACATGTACAGAAGGTTACGATCAATTAGCTGTAGATTGTCGAATGACCGTAAACGAGAACGAGGAATGGAGTAGTTTTAAGGCTGCTAGTGCCGAATGGATCGATTTCTTGCACTTACTTTCTATGTAGATCAAGGATGGTATGGAAAAAAAACTTGACTGTTGTCATTGGATTATCGTGACCGTGGTCGTTGACGTCGCGCGCTGCCAGTAGCCATGCAAGGCCTTACTCAGTAACACTAAAAGTACTCGGCGCTGTCATATTTTTCAGGATCGAGCTTGAGCACGGGCAGCAGCATCTTGACTGGTAATTCATGGCTTGTATACTGCAACTATTCTTTCACGCTGTTGTTGAATTCAACAGCAACGTCCGAAAAAGCTGGTACGCTGGATAGCTTGCCTGATCAAAGATGAATACTAAAGTTTTACAAATCCATACTTCTACCAAAAGATAAGTGAACATTTCTTGAAACCTATGGCACCAATTGTGATCGAATTCAAAAGCAACGATTGAAAGCAATGGGGGCAAAAGTACCATATTTTCTAATGAGGGAACCGGGAACAGCACAATGCAGCGTCGTATCCCCCTTACCATCACGCAGAACAAAACGAAACATCTTGACGCGCTAAGATCGTGATACCTTCAATCAGATTTCCAACTCAACAGATAGAATCGTAGACCACAAATTACAGCACTGCGCTTTCAGAGTATGTATTTCTCTTTTGCAGCGGTAATCATTCCACCACGACTGAGCAACGGCGTTCCAATACCTACGAGAAATACATGATGGTTTGACGGATACCCGCACATTGGGTGTACTCTTGGAGAGCAAGAAGTTATTCGATTGAAGTTTTTCCCCACGAAGGATATCGTAGCACCAGGTATACGCTTCAGCATGGGTACTGCCAACAGCATTGCTGGTTTCTTAGGGTTCTACTTAAAGTGATACTTCGTACTACTACTACTACTGTAGTATTGTGCAAGCTGCGTCTTTGCTGCGTCAATGATTCAATGATGAAGCTGGTTACTGGGAGAATCGCATCAAATGCAGAGCGAAACACAACAAATCGAACCACACACTGAATTCTTGCGTTGATAGGATGGAACTTCCCATTACCACTCTCCATTTGAAAAGTAGCCATGGGGATGGTACATTAATCGAGACTTAAGCTCTTCCTTCTGTGTTTTGCTTCTCATCCTAGTAGTTACGCATAGACTGTTGTGTAATTTTTGGTACGTGGCAGTGGCCCCACCATGGGGCATACCGCACGGTGCACTTAGGCAGCGCAGGCAGCCTCCTGAGCGGACTCGACCACGAACTCCCCAGCGATCTCCAAGGGCGAGTTGGCCCACTCCACCTTGGGCAGGTATTCGCCCTTAGGCACGAAGTGGCGCGGCAAGTCGAGCGTGGTCCAGACATCCTCCAGAGCGGTCATAAGGTCCTCCACCATAGCGTCCGAGTGGGTCGGCAGTGGCGTCAGACGCAGACGCTCCTCGCCACGAGGGACAGTGGGGAAGTTGATCGGCTGCACGTAGATACGGTGCTTTTCCATGAGGATACGCGAGGCCTCCTTCACCTTCACAGCGTCGCCCACCATAAGCGGGATAATGTGGCTTACACTCGGTAGCAGAGGGAAACCGGAGTCCACCAGCTTGTTCTTAAGCTCCTGGGAGCGAGCATGCATCGTGGCACGCTCCACCTGGCTCTCCTTCAGGTGGTTCACCGAGGCGCGAGCGCCAGCAGCGAGCATAGGAGGCATAGACGAGCTGAAGATGAAGCCAGAGGCGCATGAGCGCATGGCGTCCACCAGTGCGGCGTTACCGGCCACGTAACCACCCATAATACCGTAACCCTTGGCCAGGGTACCGGTAACCATGGTAATACGGTCTAGACAGTGGTCACGCTCAGCGACGCCAGCGCCGCGGTTACCGTACAGACCCACGGCATGCACCTCGTCGTTGAAGGTCATAGCACCGTACTTGTCGGCCAGGTCACAGATCTCGTGGAGCGGGGCCACCGTGCCCTCCATAGAGTTGACACTCTCAAATAGAATAAGTTTGGGGGCGTTAGGGTCGGCCATCTGGAGCTTCTCCTCCAGGTCTTTCATGTCGTTGTGCTTGTAAATGTACTTCTTGGCGCCACTGTGGCGGATGCCCTGGATCATTGAGGCGTGGTTTAGACTGTCCGAGAACATGACGATGTCCGGGAAGATCTTGGTGAGCGTACTGATCACACTGTCGTTGGCCACGTAGCAAGACGTGAAGAGCAGAGCAGACTCCTGCTGGTGGAGGTCGGCCAGGTCTTTCTCGAGTAGTACGTGGTTGTGGTTGGTGCCCGAGATGTTGCGGGTACCGCCGGAGCCAGCGCCAGACTTCATAAGATACTCCTGCATAGCCGCAATGACCTTAGGGTGCTGGCCCATACTCAAGTAGTCGTTAGAGCACCAGGCCACGACCTCCTTAGTCTTGCCAGAGTCTTCGTGATGTGTGGCCCGCGGGAACTTGCCACGTTTGCGCTCAAGGTCAGCGAAGAGACGGTAGCGGCCCTCACGTTTAATAGTGTCAATGGTCTGTGCGAAGCCATTCTCGTACTGCGAGGATGATAGGCCGCCCACACGCGTCTGACGGGTGGGGGCTGTGGGGAATCGTGCGATGGCGGACGAGTACGGCTTGGGGCCACCAAGCTGCGTGGCCTTCTGCTTCTGCGCCTTCATCTTGAGCTCAGCGATGCGCTTGAGCGTGGCGTCCGACGTGGTCGACGTCGCGTGGGCCTGCGAGCCCTTGGAGCCGCCAGCGGCCGCCGCGCCCATGACCGACGACATGTGAGGGCACATCTTGGCCAGCTGCGAGATGTTGGGCAGCAGAGCGGCGCGGGCCGTGGGCAGCGCGTGCATGAACGGACAGCGAGAGGCAGCCTGCATGCGCCCAGCGGCGACAGAGGCGCGGGTTAGAGCCATCGAATCGGGGGGTCGCGAGGAGAGGCTTGTGCTGGTGGTCACCAGTTCCAAAATGGCAAAAAAGCTGGGGTCAGGGAGGGCTAGACAACCGGGATGCAATTTGATCCTGCTGATTGGTCGAAAAAAGAAAACTATGAGAACGAATAATATTTGTTATCAGACCCTATCGCTATATATAGTATGAAGACTGCAGTTGTCATTCCAACAACAGAATTCTCTTTGAAGTTGAAAATAACGGATTAAACAGATCCTGATAAAAGTTGATAGCGCTTTGGACGGGAGCTGCAGTGTGTGGTCTGGCTGAAGGGTGGAAGCACTGTTTGTGTCGGGGGGAGTGGTTTCGACGTGTCATCCCTCCTTAGACAGGTGCAACGCCGGACGCGCTTAGCCAGGACCTTACAAATTACAAGTTTAATAAACTGGACCAACAGAATGAACAGCGGAGGGGAGGGACAACGTCGGGAGGGGAAAACCTTTTACTCCGAGAAACGCGGCGGCCCACCTGGAAAGACAACCGGACTGATCATATTTTGCATCACTCAACAATGCGATCGACGGCAGCGGATCCCGCAGCGGCTGGGCTGGGCCTACGTTGCATACGGTACGTTGTCCACCACCGACACAAAACACGCTTCAAGAATCGACCACCAGCAGATGCATACAGCGAACTATCGATAGATGTGAGCTGTAGAAGCTCGATCTTGCAGTGTGGTGGCGATTTCATTTTGCTGTAGCGTCATTAAATTAACGACGTTTCTACCTGCGTCTGAAGCTACGTCGGTCGGATAACCCCTCGGTGTGTCGTGTTGCATGGCCACGAACCGCAAGCTTGGGGGTCGTCGCGAGATTGACTACCTGTTCAAGCATACATTATTTCGCCGAACCTCGCACATGCTATTCCGCTACACAGCTGGCATACGAGCAGACTGCGTAGGATAATCGTTCCGGAGATGCAGGTCGCTTTTGCGGCGCCTTTGCATGATCGCGAGATCAAACATGACTTTGAAAGGCCACGTACGTGATCAAGATCTGGTTATGGTAAAGTAAACGCCTCGATTGCGCTTTCTGCGTGCAAAGCGCCGCTGTTTGCCTTAACCACTGCTCCTGACAGGAGCAGTGTCAGCGCTGCGGGACAAGGTTGTGGATGCATGCATACTTGTCTCGCTTTGCATCGCAGCGTCGAAGTTAAACCCACTGCAGTGTCCTACGTCCCTGAGTTCTTCCGTAGAACTTCGAGTCGTAGATTACAACACGAGGAAAGCAATCCGGACTCGAATGAAGTCGGTAAATGAAGCCGCCACTCAGCCATTTGGCTTTTGAAATGCTCGGCTCCGCTCCTCACCACTTGTGCGCGCCACGCCAATAGCACAGCCTGTGCTCCACTCTGATTCGACTGGACACTTCATAGATCTCCGTCCAGTAGTTTAATCGGCCTACAATACCTAGACTTCCTACAGTCCATGCAGCTAGAACTAACTAACACCTGATCGAGCAGAGATTGCTTCGGGTCGAAGTTCTATTGCTGGCGATTTTCTCGCTCGAAGTGTTGACACAGTGCAGGGGTAAGTTTTCGAGTAGCGCAAAATAATCGAGTACATATGCACCACCGGACCTGGAACATTAATGCTCGTGGATAGGCTCAAGGAGTCAACTCGATAGGAACTGGAAGCTGCAGCCTTAAATACCTTTTCAAACCAATATAGATACATCTTGCCAGCTCCTGCACCATTTTATCCAAGCTTCACCAAACCCAAGCACGTCATGGGTGAGCGCAAGGTGCTGAACAAATACTTCCCGCCGGACTTCGATCCGTCGCTGATCCCGCGGCGCAAGAAGCCCAAGAATGAGCAGGTGGAGGTGCGCATGATGCTGCCCTTCTCCATCCAGTGCGCCACCTGTGGCGAGTACATGTACCGCGGCAAGAAGTTTAACTCTCGCAAAGAAGAAGTATTGGAGGAGAATTACCATGGTATCCGCATCTACCGCTTCTACATCAAATGCATCACGTGTTCGTCTGAAATAACCTTCAAAACGGACCCCAAGCGCGGCGATTACGTGGCCGAGCACGGCTGTCAGCGCAACTTTGAGCCGTGGCGAGAGAATGAGGACGAGGAGGCGGCGGCCATCGCCCAGCGCGCCGAGGAAGAGAAAGGAGACGCCATGAAGGCGCTCGAGAACCGGACGCTTGATTCCAAACGCGAAATGGACATTCTAGACGCGCTGGATGAGATCAAAGCCATTAACCAGCGCCACGCCAAAGTGGATACGGACAAACTACTGCAACAGCACGCAGACGTGGGTAAACTGAGCAAGGAGGAGCAGGAAAAGCAGCTAGAGGAGGACAGACAGGAGGCACATCGAGTGTTCGAAGAGAGACAAAAGATGCAGCAGAAGCAAAATGTGCTCAAAAGACCAGTAAGTGACGCTGGCGAGGAGGCCAAGCCGTCAACTGGACTTGCCTCTTCGAAACGTGACGATACAACAGCCACGCCGTCACTTAAGCTGGCCGTGACAATCAAGAAGAAAACGACTGTAGTCGCCAAGAAGAAGAAAGCTAAGGCCAAGACGCCTGCCAAACCTGTAGCAAGCTTAGTGGCAGATTATAGTGACAGCGAATAGGATCAAGCTCTAGACTCTTCACTGAAGCAGCTTTTATCTCTCAGCAAATGCTTATGATGTCGCTACTGGTTGGGCTCATACGGTGCCAGTAGGTTCTCGGAGAAGGCCTTGAGCGACGGCACGCCACGTACCTCCTCGGTCAGTAGCGGCATCTCCACCACGTGGAAATCCTCGTACAAGTCGTAGATCTGGTCAATGTACTTCTGCTGCATCTTCTGGCGGGCGCTACAGCTCTTACACGTCGATCCTTCCTCCGGGTACAGCACCTGGTTCACCACGACGTTGTGCACGTCGATCTCGTACTTCGTGAGCTCCTGCACGAGTCGCTCGGTCTCATACAGCGACAGGAACTCGGGGATGCACACGCACACGAAGGTAGTGCGCTCCGGGTCCTTGAACTGCGCGTTCACCTTCTGAATGACCTCGCGCGTCTGTTCCAGCTTGCCCAGTAGCATTTCCTGTGACGGCAGAGCGCCGCCTAGCAGCGCCGAGACCTGCGAGAACATACCCGAGAACTGGTTCTTGAGCGACAGGATCTTGTCGAAAGCCTTGTCCAGCGCAGTAGGAAAGCTCAGTAGACGCAACGTGTGGCCCGTGGGGGCCGTATCGAACACAATTACCGAGTAGTCCATGTTCTGGACCTGCTTCATGAGCTCAGCGAAGCTCATGGCCTCGTCGATACCAGGGATGGAGTTGGTAAGGTCTTTCATGAACGAGGCCATGCCCGAGTTGTCCTGCACGCCGTCGGCGTTCATTTCTTCCAGCTGGATACAGCAAATGTAGCCTAGTTAGTAGAGCAATAGTGGGGCGAACAGGTAGAACGCTGAGCTGCCACGTACATCCACGTTGGGGTCGATCTCCATGACTGCCAGATTGGAGAAACCATTGACAGGCGTCGGCTCGCGCGTGAACTTCTGGCCAAAGGCATCACTGCAATGTAGAGGAGGTTGTTATTATTGCATAAAGGGAGAGGTAGGCAGGCTAGATTCACCTGAGGTTGTGCGCGGGGTCCGTGGACACGATGAGGACCTTCTCGCGTTGCGCCGCCAGCTGGATGGCTAGGCAGCAGGACGTGGTGGTCTTGCCCACGCCACCTTTGCCGCCTACGAAGATCCACTGTAGCGACTTCTGCGCCACCAGGTTGCGCAGGCTCGCCTCGGGTACGTCTACGACTTCGTCCGACATCGTCTTCGCCGCTATATCTTTAGAAATGGAATGGAATAATGGCGTAAGCTTTAGAAACGATATACATAGCGTATACATCAGACTAAATTATCCGTAATTTACCGGACAAAAGTTGTTCAAGATTTCCGAGATACGAATAACATCAAGAATAGCACGCTCGAGGTTTTTCGATTTCGCCCCACAATATTATTAATATTATACATGTATGCTTGAAGTAAGTACTTGGTATACATAATCTTAAAACCCGAGGCCCAGCACTGATTGTTTGGGGGCCGAGTTATTAGGCATATGAACGCAATGGCGGTGACCCGGGGTCCCACCGGGACCCCAGTGCTCCCTAAACAACCAGTATTCAAAATGAATGTGGGAATTGATAACACCAATTTTAACCTGCTGTCGACTTGGGTTTGGTTGAAAAGAATCCCAATCCGTTCTTATTTTCGTCACTACATCTTCTCCGAGCTCTTCGATAGCTTGCAGACGCGCGGCTTCACTCCTGTCAGGACCTTTCTGCCGTTTACGGGTCGGGAGTGTCTATTGTGTTCCCCCTCGGGATCTCTGCATAATGGTTCTTGGTACACGTTGTCCTGGAGACGCGCAGCTGAAAATGGGAGCTCACCTACCTCCATGCGTGGGTTTTAATCTGCAACTCTAAAAATAAAATGAATAATTACTTCCTCTGGCTGAGAATGATTACACGAATGCTTTATGCCAGTGCTAGGTTTTTTAAACGGGTGTGACAAAAGTGATTATATAAGTGTATCGTGTTGAAGAGGTAATAGTTTTGCGCCGAAAAGAAGCACACTACCATGATGACTCTGCTGCAAGACGCTTATTGCGCGCTGATACAACGCCGCATCGCACTGCAGAACTCTAGGTAGACTGTTTGTTTTTCGAAGCTTGGCCTTGCCAAGATGTGGCAGTTTGTAGTGATTTCCTCCATCCTCCTCCAAAACACAGAGCATGCACGCTTGAAGCGTTAGGAAAATGTCGTCTAAAGTGTCGGTGGACATCTGCATGTACGCATCGTCAACTGCATCGATGAGGTCTTCGATGCTGTAGATTGGTAGCTGATACTGGATCGACTGCAGCGACGCAAACAGCCCAAGGTCTAACGCGTTTAAATCGGGAGAATTCGGGGGCTGGAAGATGAGCCGAATTGACCAGCCTCCTTCCAGCCCAGCGGCCAAAATGTCGGGGTCGAATGGCGAAACATGGGGCTTGGCATTGTCTTGTTGAACGAAAATGGGGTCACGCCACTGCTGTCTAGGCCACTCCGCTTTAATAGCAGGAAATACAAAGCATAGCAGAAACCTCTTGTAGACTTCACGATCAATGCTCTCTATGTTGCGAGTGCATAGCGTACCTCTCGGTCGGTATTTACTAGATCGCTGCGCAACATACTCCTCCGTCAACGCCCAGATACCGATCTTGCCACTCCATCTACACTTCCGTTGGAAGTCATATCTAAACATAAAATATGGTAGGAAAATTAGAATTGATAAAATATTATTTGTCACAGGAGATTACCTCGGTCGTGCTACTGCAGCGAAAAACATGGTCTTCGGGATGAAGTTCTTGCTTTTGCGGTCTCTCTGTGGCGGCAGCTCACCTTCAAGAAGCATGTACGTGCGTGTGTTCTTGTCTTGATTAAACCACTTCTCGTCGATGTGTATCACGTTCTCCATAGGCTCGAAATTGTGTGTTGCATCATCTATATAACTCAGCACATGCTCCACCCTCTTGTGCTTGTTTTCGGTCGTTAAAGCCGGCTTAATACGAGTGGAGCGGCGATGTAAGCGGCCCTCCTTTAGCATAGCAGACACCAGGTAGCGCGTAAGCCCAGCTGCGACTGCTGTGCGTCGCACGACAAGACGCTGTTCAGCAGGAACCTGGGAGAGCTTCTGAGCAACTTCGTCGCGGTCTATCTGCTTTCTACCTGAGTTTGTTTTTATCCTGCTGCGCCATTCGCCTCCACTGATACCGTTAGTACATGTAGATTGGTACTGGGTCCACAGCCTGCTCACAGAGGACCGATCACAGCTAAATTTCCGGGCAACCTCTGTCAGTACCCCGTGCACCAATTTACCACCTTTCAGACGCGTTAGAAGCTCATCAATTATTGTACGGCGCTCCCTATCAGTGAGGTTTCGCATAGAAGCCCCAGAGCTGATGAAGAATGGTTACTTTGGCCTGGGCGGGTGCTTTAAAAATGAATGGCAGAAGAGGTCGGCTTCTCGAGGCCATTGCTTTTCACCTACTACTTCGATTGCTCAAAACTTAATATTGCCCAATAGCTGAAACGCTAACGGTTCGATTAAGCCAATCCGCGCCTGGTTTGAGATAGTATTGACAGAGTTATGTATTGATTTCTCCAATCGTGCGATCATTCTCAGCCAGAGGAAGTATGGAGTTGGTCGGTATCTTTTTTGCGGGAACCCGGGGTCCCGCCAATGCGTTCATATTTTATGCATAAAAACGTTTTCAGTTCTTTAAAGAAATATATTGTGGAATATATATATGCATGGAATACCAGGAATCCGAATGTTATTCACAAGAGATCTTCGTAAACTCAAGTATATTGTAGTCTATAACCAACTGTTAATGCAAATAGTTATCTGATTGTACAAGTGCAAGCCAATTTTGCATTGGCATCGGTGGTTTTTCGTCTTTCCTAATATAGGATGCACTTGTCTTCAGGACCTCTCACTGTACAAGTCTCAACCAAATGCCGCCATTATCAGAATCTGAACTGCCATCGGAAACACTTCGCGTGGAAGGATACGTTAAGTATTACAGTCCTCTTCTGTTATGAAGTGCACACGCGATGGCAAATTGTAGGATGAGATTTAGTTATTGACTCTAGCTAGCTGCAGCCATACTCTGTTGTATCCTGCCTACAAACTAATTATTGACAAATTCAGTCCTGCATTCTAATTGGCTCTTTGACAAATGACGTGGTTTGCTGTTTATCGTCATTATCAATTGACGTATGAAGTGTTTGACGAATCATGTACTGTGTACATAAATACGTCACATCTTCTCGCCAAGGGGGATGCGGTCACCGCATCTCCTGAGAACTGCTTTTCCTCTCAGTCTCGATACAGATGAGATTCTACTTGTAACGTGGTTTGTTACGCACTACGCTGACGCTGACGCTCCTTAGTATCCCGTAAATGGAGCAACGTGGCGCAAGATTTCGCACACTACCTGTGACGGGCCACTGGCACACAAGTCACCACCGCTCTATCGCGGTGGCCAATCAGAGTTATGCAAAGATCCACTGGTTGTGACGGCCTCGAGTGTCGAGGTCGTCTCGATAGTTAGTTTTCAAACCTACATCTTCCCAGTTAAGCTGGTAACGGTCTTAGCCCGTTACGCTACCACTTATTCTGGGGCTGTGGCTTAAAGGGGAAATAAACCCGCCGAAAACCATTTCTTACCAAGTTTCGCAATATCGATGACAGCGTGCCTATTGGCACCGAAGCAGTTGTTAGCTTCCCCGCTAAGGGATCCATTGAAAACCTGATTGACAATAATGAGGATTGAAGAGGTATTCTGAGCAAATGGTTTTGCAAGTAATACAAGCAACGTATCTCTCTTATTGAGGTGGTATATTTAGATGTGATAATTTAAGTAATGACGATGTCCGATGTGCGCCCATCTGCCTCCTCCTTGCTGTCTTTGGTGTCGGTGATCAGCACGGAGTTGAGAACGCTGACCCGCAATTGTATCGAGCTCAAAATCCCGGAGACGCTATCGGGGATCTGTTGCGATTGATCCACCTGTGTATGGATGAATATCGTTGTTTTACCGACAAAACATTGTTTGGTAGTGTTATGAGGCATACTATTATCCAATCATATACCATAAGGTATTTATTGTGACCAATCACATTGATTAGGGGTAGGGTTTCGTGCTCCGACACGTTTTGACAAATATTTGTCGGAACCAGAGGCAAAATATGAATATGTCAGCACAAAAGTCAAGCCTAGCAAATATTTTGTAAATATTTCTGTAAATAAGACAACGAGGCATTGTCCTATACTAGGAAGCTAGACTAGGAAGCCAGTTTACAGGACGTTAATTGGCAACCCCACACTGTTTAAGCTGGCAGAAACACATGAGTCTAACCGCATTTGTGCCTACTAACACTCAGAAGGCGCGCACCACCGCGATTGCCGCTTTTAAGCGGATGCTGGATGAGGAGAATGTTAGCATGGACTTTATCCAGGCTAGCATTGGCTTGGACGCCTCCGGCAAGAGGTTAGCAGCGACAATGGACCGCTTCGGCTTCTATCTGGCAACGAATGACGGTAAGAAAGGTAAGCTTGCACGTAATACAGCGACATCATACCATAGAAATGTAAAGCTTTGGTTATTTGATCAGTTTCCACATTTACGTGTGCCTACTGAATTGATCTTGCTAAAGCAAGGTAAGACGCTAGACAAACATTGCATGAAAAGAGAAAAGGGTGGCTTCGTTAACAAGGCCCCTCCTTGCACTAAGGATGATTTAGCGTCATTAATCCGTTATGTATACAGCACCGCACGCGTGGCTACTGATTACCAAGATGCTGCACTAGCGTGTCTGATGTGGCACTGCTTTGGTCGATCATCTGACATAGGCTACATTCAAAAGCAGCACGTGTCAGTATCGGTGGATGGTACCTTCTACCTACGAATTCTACGCGTCAAGACATCCGAAGAGCAGGGACTCACCTTAATTCCGGACAAGAGTAATTTTTTGACGTGTCCGTTACACGCTCTCGGCGTGGCACTGGCAATGCCAGGTGCCCCGTGTGCGGCACTGCTCGATCAATTGCCGGAGCTCGTATCAAATAATTGCGAGAATCTTGACGAAGATGCCCCTCTTCATGATCTTCTCTCTGCAGACCCAACCACTCTCCAGGTTGCAGTGGTGCCAACGGGGGTTGCTGCCACGGAAGTGGATTGCACATCTACATTACCCCTTGCGTTCAGCCAGATTAACGAGGCCAGGCCGTCATTGACAAACGCAGATGTACAAGAACCCACCGAGGCTAAGGCACCTACCAAACGTGGAGAAGATAGTGTGCAGGCGTACGTGAACCGGATGCTCAAGCGCGTAACCGAACCTGCTGGCGCAACTTCTTTCTTAACTTCGCACTCTTTTCGACGAGGCGGAGCCCAGCACGCAAACGGAGACGACCACCTCGCCGCCCAATGGATTTTCGATCGAGGTGCATGGGATATGACAAAGACCAACAAAGCCTTTGCGTACATCACAAACACGGCCCGTGAGGACAGGAAAGTTGCTCGTGTTCTTAGCGGCTGGAAAGCGGATGAGTCACCAACAATACTTGACGTTGCTGCGCTGGATCATGCGAGTCAAGAGAGACTTGGTCGCCTCCAGATGTTTCTCTTCAGCTCGTGCACCGGTTTAAAGCAGCAACGGCTCAATGTAAGTACCAAGGTTCTCAGCGTTTTAACAGCGTACCTTGTCCGCAACTACCCACAGTTGAAGGAGCTAGCGCCGGCGTCTCCAATTGTCACACGGGTTGAAGAGTGCTTGGTGTCTGCAGATATAACGATCGCCGACACGCTGGCGTGGTCGGTGGCATTAAACACTGAAGCTGTACAGCCTGGCAAAGAACAAGAAGAAAACATACTCTCCAGCGCGGTAATCAGCCATTTGGAATCAGTTATCCAGCAGCTTATCACGTCCAACAAGGCTCTAGCTGCGAGGCTAACAGTCGTTGAAGCTGCGCTACTCAAACCTACCAAGACACAAAGAACCACTGAAAATCAAACACAAGTCGTATCAGATCCGGAACCGCAGCCCAAGCGCAGAAAAAAACAGACAACTAACCTTTCCACGACGTGGTATGAATGGTACACACGGGTGCCGCGCGTCTGGGGCTCAAGCGATCGTCACAAAAAATCGGAGTCACGGCACATTGTTGCCTTCATGAAACTCTTTCTCGTAGGTGGCTTCGTGCTTGACGCTACGGATGAAGACTACAAGGACCAAGTCCTCCACGCTGGCCATCGCGCCGAAGGTGCCGTGCTAGATTTCTTGCAACAGAGAGGCATGAACGCAAAGGGAGCTGGCAGTGTTCTGCGGGCGCTGCGACCAATGCACAAATCTGGGGATCTTGATGAGTACATCGTAGGCTATAAGCAGCTCCTCGCAACTGGATTGATACAAGATCCGGCTCCTGTAGATACTCAAGACATGTTAGCCTTATGTCAACAGACATAAGAGCAACTTGTCGAGTTTACACGAAGTTACAGGCTGTCGAGTATATCCAAAATTGCATGCTGTCGATTATATCCGAAAACGTAGGTAGTCGAGTATATCCGAAATCACAGGTTGTCGAGTTTACACAAAATTACAGGCGGTCCCGCGGCAATGTTTTTTTTTACAACTGCCCCTGTCTTCAAAATGGAGAATGAATGGCTAGCGAGTGGTTTTGGATAAATCGTAATTAAAAGAGTAATCTTTTTACCCAATAAAAAATTGCTGTTTGTCGAGTTTGTCCGAGAGCCGTCACTTATTAATTGGACAAGATATCGGACTCTGCACAACACACAAATGCAGTAAAAATCGAAGTACTGGTGAAATGTGAAGAAGAAGGATGGGATGCTGGGGAAGCGTCTCGGCAGCTTGACATACAACGTACAACGTTGTTTGGCTGGATGGAGAACAAAGCGGATATCTTCGTCTCTACAGCAGATCCTTGGTCTAAGCGTATAGCACCACCCGGCAAGAGTGCACCTACGTCGTCCTACGATGTTGCTATCGTCAACCGTGTGAAACATAGAGTTTCTAATGGCGAAGAAGTCTTCAGGGGTGATGTCATCGCTGATGCCATTAAGACTATTCCGGGATTTCGTGAGCGCAAAGTACCAGCTCAAGGCTCGTGGGCTACTCGGTTTATTAACCGCTACAATCTCAGCAGCATGATTTCGTCACATACCAAAAAGCGGCAGAGTGTACTGAAGGATGAACCTCTACCAAAAAAAATATTCAAGTCGCCTGTGTCGAGTTTGCCAGAAAAAAACAAAGTCTCCGGAGATAATTTCCCTCTTGAGTGAGGAAAGTAATTTCCACTCTGTCGATAAAGTCTTTGGCGAGGAATGGAATATCTCTCCAGAGCACATTGTGTGCGAAACACAGACGCCATGTTTCGTTCAAGGTAAAACTACCACAAGATTGGTGATTAAGGACACTGATGTAATGACGCTTAGCGATGACAATTGGCTAAATGACGCAGTTATCACGTATTACTTTCGGACGTTGCTACCTCCGTATGGTAGAACGTACGTGATGGATTCAAACCTCTTCGACTACATCTACAACGAGTACAAGCTAGCAAACCGGAAAATGCTGGACGCATACAAGACGTGTTGCGGTGTTACTGCAACGTTTCCGTATGAAAAATACGACCGCATTATTGTCCCGATTTGAATGGGGTATCACTGGACTTTTGCTATTGTGCAAAACCCGGTGCTTATCACCGACAAAACAAAACTAAGCAGATGCATCGTACATGTGGAATCGCTTGGAATTTCCAAGATAGAAACCGTGAAGAAAGTTGTGGGTGGATACTTCGATGAAGAGCAACGAAAGAAGTTTCCACACAAAAAAAGTTGCGTTTATTGTGCGAGCGGTTGTTACAAGCCCACGGCAAAACAACATGGACGACTGTGGAGTGTTCCTGCTATTTTTCATTAAGCGGACATTTGAGCATTTCCTACAGGATAACAAACACCTATTGAGCGACATTACTATCATCTGCACCGCTCCTAGGTCCGCTCGCTTCAATCCCAGTATGATGCGCAAGAATATTCTCGATCAACTTACACAGAGTAGTCAGTAGGCAACCAGAAACCGATGGCTTATCACTTTCTATAATACATGTACGTGCATTACATTTACGTCTTGTAGGCCAATTCACGCTAAAAACAATTATGTCCAACAGCAAGTCCATACTCACCAACGTTAATAAGAAAATATTGCAATAGGAAAATAAGACAAACCAAATTTACCTTCTATATGACAGTAGATTACAGTTTCTGGCAGACGAAGAAGCTATTCTCACCTTTCAGAAGTCGCGAGGCGCAATGCAAAGTGATCTGGCAGTGTCCTGTGGGCGCCACGACCGTTCCACAAGTCTGGGACGTTGAATGATCGCATCAGCGCGTACAAGCGCCTCCTTGCCGTCGGAAGAATTGCGGACCCTGCTGCAGCAGACATGAAAGGCATACTGGTAGGTCACGTTTAAACTCTCTTGCATACAAATGCATTCACAGTTAATAAAGCAACAGAACAACGCACTTTGAACACAGACTGCTTCTTCACCACCAACAAACCTGGAGCTGCACATGACACCCAGCAGGAGCTCCTCCAACGGCCGTACATGCCAGCTTTGACCTCTCTAGCAGCTGCAGAATGAACCAGGGCCGCCCTCGCGAGCAGCTGCAGTAGTCATCAACGTCGTCCCTACCCAGCGTCGTTCTCCCTAGCAGCGCCAACACGAACCCGCGCCGTCCTTGCCACCAGCCACAGCTGTCTCCATCGCCGTCGTCTAGCTGTTAGACCCCCTCCATGTTCCAAAGGATAGCGCCGGTCCGACTTGAACGGGCTCCTCAGGGTGAAACCCTGGCTCTACCAGTTGAGCTACGGCGCTACGGTCGGAGGGGGTCAGAGCTCTGCTCAGTATCTGCTGCGAAACGTAGACTGATCCAATTTTAGTTCTGTCGGCCTCCACAGCGCCTCACAGCCACTGAAAAATAGCGCGTGTCCCCAGACAAGTGGCAATAGCCTATTGGTAGATAAGAGTCAATGGGAGGCAAGCAGCCTTTCATTGGCTTTTAATTTCAGCCTATAGCCAGGTTCGATGGTTCCTCCACGGTCACCTCAAATAGTGGTCCTACTCACCCCCCTCATTAATGAATTTGCGGTCTCGGGTGCACACTGTTCCGAGGCCAACTATGCATGCAAAAGAAAAATTGCTGATTCCTCGGCCTACAGGCCTCTAGAGACCATTTCCTTGCGGCTGTGAGCACGCTTTCGAGGACTGACAGAGGTTTCTGAGCCAATAAAAAGTTTCGAACTTAAACGAAATGCGTATGTATGCTTTTTGATGATGTTGATCAGTCGGAAATTGTTGGGATGTCGGAACCGTTGCGATATGGAATTGGGTAGACAACAAACATCTGCCGCTTATTGCGGCTGCATGTATTTGTGGTGCGCACGGCATCCCCTTGTTTGGAAATACAGACCAGAGCAGGATTGGACTAGAAACTCAGTAAATAGTCGAATGCCATCAGCTTGCTTTAGAGCGTAGGACGTAATGACTTTGACCACCGTGTCATTATATCAAACTGGCCTTGTAGAGAAGAGAAGAAAAGGAAGGTCGTCTGGGGGCTGGCAGGGAGGAAGCGGTGCTGGTCTCCCCGATCAACGCCTCAACCAAACAGTTGGTTGAGAGATCCCCTCTATTACTTAATACCAATCTCTAAAGTGATCTCACTCAAACTCGATACTATCGACTATTCGATACAGTCATACAGTGAAAACCTTAACCCGTTTAGAGTCCTAGTCTCTTCTACACCTTTTGACGCTCAATAAGTGTTAATAGAGTGAGCCCACCAACGCCGCAAATGTGTGTGTGCGTGTATAGTCAAAAGGCCATCTCTACTCGTAACAAGCCATAGTTTCATTGTGGTATGATATCCTTCCACGCGGTAAGTGGTCTCTATTCCGACGTGAACAACTCCATTATTCCAGCACCAGGCGAGACGCCATTTTCAAAGACTGTGCCGCATGTCATCAATATATCTTTTTCTGCGATGAGAGCATGTACATTTCAAACCGTCTAAGTTAATACTCATCCTCTGTAGTTGAGCGGGAGTACTCAAAAAGAATTGTAATAGTTCCTATGAGGTTCTGATTTTTTTCCCACTTAACAGCGCTTGAAATCGATGCTTCGCCATCTCACACTTTAACGTGTTAGTTTGAGCGTGTGTCTCTACATTCTTGACAACGTACCGCAAACAAAGTAAATAAAGCACGCCTGGAAATAGTGCTTCGAGAGCGCTGATCATTGCTAGCTCTCCATCAATGGAGAGCACTTACCGTGGGGGAATTCTATATTCATTCACCGTAGCTACCAGATGTCGCAGGCCCACTTGTAGTCGGACTGCTCCTCGTGACGAATAAACGCCTGGGCGATATGAATAGTTGTGTTCATTGCTGAAACTCCGATCATATTCAAGAGGAGTCCCGTACATCGTTCACGCTAATTAGTCATGTCTGCAATGAGTCATGCATCGTATGTAACAGAGTATAAACAACAATTCAACCACTTTTAGTCGTACACCACAAAAACCATACTCCACAATTAAGCATGAACGATGTACTGAATTACAGCCACACACTCCTTCCGCAAGCCCCAACCACCACACTTCGAGTTCTCCCACTGCTATGAGCTACGATGGCACTCAATCACTTCAGCATGACGCGTTGGAGGGGTATTCTCGGCAAAGCATTCAGGGCATTTCCTTCTCTCTTTAAGGCAGATGGCCGTCCTGTAAATCTGAACAAAGCTCGGGACTGGTGGTGCAGACTCGAGGCGTTCCTCCACCCCCCCTAACGTTACCCCCCGTAACGTTACCGATCTAGTCCAACTCGCCCATTTAACGGACCAAGCAGTATTGGCGGCGCATCTACGAGAAGCATGGATGCAATTAGCCGTGATGACTCGCGTCAAGGATCGGGTGCGCTGCGGAACCCAGGGGGGGGGAAGTTTTCCCTCGAACTACTGCGGAGTGCATGCGGTTGGTGAATTCCAAACGGGACAAGCATAATCTCATTTGAGCCAAAACGTCGATGGTTTTGTGCGGTTTACATGCTGGTCCTGGTGGACAATGGGATGTGAAGTAGCTTGGCCGTGGCCTTCAGAATATCGTAGCTAAGCTTCCTGACGACTTTCAAAAAGGGTTTTATGAAGCAGGTCAAGCAGTGTAGCGAACCCTTCTCAAAACACACTCATTTAGTTGTGCACCTCGAATAGTAATGCTCCCTTATTTATTGTGCATTTTTAAATCCATGAAATAGAGCACCACTATCAGTCAGGGTATTCGCAGATTGCCCTTAAAAGATAACACCTGCTAACGCCCTCCGGCTCTGACCAGTAGTACGTTACGACCGGCCGACGGCTCATTAACCGCCCCTATCTTCCTCTTGCCTAGACGAAATGGCTTCAGCGAGAGCCCGACCATCCAGCTCAAAGGCGATAGATCAGCTGCTAAAGTGATTTGCCAAGAAGTGACAGTTTTTGAAATGAATGACGATGACGCACCAGCTTTCTCCTGCATGAAGTTGTTGCTGCGTTTGCAATACAAGCGTCTGCGATCGCCGATATCAGTACATACGACGTGAGTACCACATGGCTGTATTGAATTCAGCTTCTCCAGAAGAATCTCAAACTGTGGCTAAATCTAGGGAGAAGTCGCGGAACGTAGCTTTTCACCCACAAAACGAGTTTCGCTAGCCCAGAAAGCTAACGCTTTTGACCTCCCGGTGCATTTTTTGCGTTGAGGTTCACTGAGTCGTAGAAAAGGAGTACCATTATAGACGTACATGCTTTCGCCAGTCGAGACTGTTTTTGTAAACGAGGATTGGCTGGATATATGGAAGCATTCGCTGATGGATGGTCTTTGTAGTCCATATCGGGATCCAAGCAGCATATTACGTTAGAAGGGTGCCGCGTCACACTGCAGTCATGCAAGTGGTG